TTGTGGATGTTCATTCGGACCCTCCGATGAGTGCTGAAGCGTGGTAACTCCAGTCTCCCCGGTTCGGTCCGAATGGACAACCTGCTGAAGGCTCACACCTAGCCACGGGCCATCACTCTTCACGGAATGCCCTTGCGATCTGATCGGTGAACGGCTTCATAAAATAGGCGATGGCGGTCTGCTGCTCGGTTTCGACGAAAACCTCAACGGGCATGCCTGGCACAAGTTGTTCCGGGCGTTCCCCATCCTGAACCCCCACCTGGGCAAGATAGAAGCGCTCGCCCGTCTGTGTATCCTGTTGGGAGGCGGCGGAAACACGGAGAATTTCTCCTGGCACCTCAGGGGTAGTGCGCTGATTGAAGGCAACGAAACGAAGATTTGCCGCCTGGCCCACATGCACTTGGTCGATATCGTTGACCGCCACGCGAAATTCGACCACGAGATCGACCCCTTCCGGCACTATCGTCACCAGCTCCTCGGCTGGCGATATGACGCCACCTATAGTGCTAACGTTGAGTTCGTTGACTATACCGGCCACCGGCGCAACAATTTCAGTACGGGCATAGCGGGCCACCGCAGCGCTCAAGCGCTCTTCGACTTCAGCGATCTGAGCGTCCACCAAGCCCAAATTCCGCTGAGCCTCCGTTTGCCTTGTGCCTTCAAGCTCAAGGATTTGCAACTCCACATCCGATATTCTGACCTGCGCCCGGGCAATGCTGGTATCAAGATCTCCCATCTGTCCCTGAAGGCGAATGACGTCGCGTTCGGCGGTCGCTACCCGCGACGTTTCGATCAGGTTGTTTCCAGCGAGTTGCCGGAATCGCTCAAGTTCGACCTGCGCAAGTTCGAACTCTGAAACGATCGCTGTCCGTTGGAAGCGGAGACCATGAATTTCCTGATCCAACTGATCGACCTGGAGCAGCAACTGGTTGTGCTGTGACCGATGACGGGACAGATCGCCAGCGAAGAGCTGTCGCTCACCTATGATGATCGCTGAGGCATTGGGGTGACTCACCGAAAACCCTTCAGGAAACTCGACGGTGCTCAACCCGTCTACTTCGGCCATCAGTCTTGCACGCCGGGCGAAAAGCTCGATCAGCTGGCCCTCGAGAATGGCTTTTTCGGCGCGTATCTCGGCATCTTCAAGTCGCAACAGCAGTTCACCTGCGATCACGCGGTCGCCTTCGCGCACCAGAATGTCCCGCAGGACCCCACCATCCGGATGCTGTACGATCTTGATGTCGTCATCCACCAGTACGCTTCCCACCCCGATGACCGCGCCGGAGAGCTTTGCGGTGGCTGCCCAGCTGCCGACACCGCCCAATAAAAGAACAGCGAACAGTACGCCCCATATCACCCGCCCCCTGAGCGAAAACTGCCTGTCGATCGAACGGGTGCCGTTGAGCGGAAGGTCGGCCTGATAGGCGAGACTGGACATTTTTCTTCCCTTTTACACAGGACTCAAACGAGGACCGGGTCGTTGGTCCAGGCGAGCAGGACATCACGAATGTTGATGGTTACGTCAAACAGATCGTCACTATTGAAATCGGCGCGGATAATGGTCTGATCGATGCCATCATGGCTGGCATGGGTAACAAGGATAGGAATGTCGGCTCGCAGCCAGTCATCGTCATCGTCCCCATAAATCGAGCGAAACAGGTCGCGCTCTGCGGCGCGGGCCTCGCGGCTGATGTCATAATCGCGTACACGGATACGGTCGCCGACCACTTAATCGAGAATGTCGTGAACGACGTCCTCGCTGAGGGTAGGATCGTCGTCCATGACCTCGAAGACGAAGAGATCGCGGCCGCGCCCTCCCGAGATAACGCGTGCCGAGGCGCCGATCACAAAAAGATCGTCTCCCTCACCGCCACTGACCTGTTCGAAACCGGTAAATGA